AAATAGTGGAGACAGTATGTTAAATTAAAATTGAAACTGAAAACAGCAATTTGCATATTATTTTTGTAATACATTAAAAACAGTACAACACATTATTACATTTTTTTTTTTTTTTTCCCAAAAATAAACACTTGTTTCATATTGATTCTTGCAACGTATTTCAAAAAAAGTCGGGACAGTAAAGCATTTACCACTTTGTAATGTTGCTATTTCTTTTCACACCACTCAAAGGATGTTTAGGGATGTTTAAGTTTGTCCCATTCACAGGATCGAACTCCTGGCAGGCCAGTCCAGCACCCGCACCCTTTTTTTCTGCAGTCAAGCCTTTATAATGTGTGCAGAATGTGTTTTATATGTTTTTTTATATGAGTATGATATGAATATGAGTTGATGTCCCCAGAAAAAATGTCGTCTTAAAGTCAGCATGTTGATCCAAAATCACAGTGTAAAATCTTAGTGTATGTTGCCTTTGCCAAAGGCACAGACACAACCCCATATCATGACAGATGCTGGCTTTTGGGCTTGTTGCTGGAAATGGTCTGAATGATCCTTTTCAGTTCAAATACTTTTCACAGTTTTTAATAATTTATGAAAAACTAAGGCCTTTTCTTTAATATTGAGTTGTTCACCGTAAGTCACACTCCCCCGCACCCACCTTGTTGTCTGGGTTCCCTTCTGTTGATGCTACAACAGAAAAATTATGATGGTTTGTAAAGTTCTCATGCTATGTAAATTTACTGTCTTTAATTTAAACATTGCCCTGCAGCACACAGTCAGCTCACTTCCTCTAGTCTTTTGTGGTCTTGCGTGTGCGTACCATCTCTGTGTGTGTAGTTGCAAGCATGAAGGCATCTCAGTGCTTCTTGACACTCAATGCGTTTCATCAGAGCTTACAAGGAAGTCTAGCCACAGCCAGCTTCTTACACTCCATCATCACCACCTGTACTGGTTGATCTCTTTATCTTCCAATGGGTAGCAGTGCTGTGTGGGTCTTCTTGCCTCTTGAGGTGATCATTGCTGTAGCATGTTGCCTGGGTAATGTGCTGGTGATCTGGGCAGTGTGGACATGTGGAGCCCTCAGTCAGCCCACCTTCTGCTTCATTGTGTCCCTCGCTGTGGCTGATTTCCTGGTGGGATCTGTGGCCATCCCCATAGCTGCGCTGATGGACATTGGTATGAACACCTCCTTTTATGGCTGCCTTTTCATGTGCTGTGTCATCATAATGCTACAAGTGGCTTCTGTCGTCTTACTCCTGGCCATTGCAGTGGACCGTTTTCTCCGTGTGCGCATCCCTCTGAGGTGAGTAGTTTTTGTCCTTACTGAGTAGAACTTTGATGGTGCATAACCAAACGTTGCCTCGAAATGTGACTATAGGGAATTTTAAAGATATTTTGTGGGTTTGTGGTGAAAAGGCATATATATTTCTACCATATGGGTGAATAGGATGCTGTTATATGGTGACATTGAAGCTTCCATATGAGGTTTTTACTGTCCAGAAGGGAAAAGTATCTGATGAGGTTCAATCTGATGCTATTTCTGGAAGTAGGAAGAAAAGGGAACTGGCACAATTTCATAATCTGGAGTCCTATCATTGGAGGATAAGTCTAGGAGAGAAGTGAGGTATAGGATTGTTTCCATGGTATGGTGTGACATTTTTGGCAGATCACATTGATAATATTACCCACACCCTACAGGGTTTTGCAAATGAGACTATAAGAGGTTTTGAATACTTGTCAAACACTCAAAAGAGTCATAGACTGACGTTGCTGAAACATTATATGGCTCTTGATTATCTCTTGGCCAAACAAGGTGGCCTATGTGTCGTTGAACTTAACCGGGGATGCCTGTTATACTTTGATTCCTGATAGTTCTGACAATATGACGAGTGTCATAGATACATTAACGCTTATAAAGGGACACGTTTGGCCCATCAGAAGGAGCTGGATGGTCTGCGAATGCTTGGTTGCAGGAGAAATTAGGACCGTTGGGAGCAGTGTTGGTTCAGATTATGGTAGCCGTTTTTATATTATTGTGTGTGATGTTCTGTTTCTGTATGTTGTTGTTAACCTTTGTGATGGCTATGATATTGAGATGGGTTGGAGTCGTGATGCCTGGTGATCAAGTTCAGATGCCATTACTACATAGGACTGATACAGACGGTGACGAGGAAGTGGTGATAGAAGGTGAACTGATGGAGAAATATCCATTTTGAATATCTACTCTTATTATAGTCTTGACATTTATTTCTGTTATCATTTTGGTATTTAGAAGTCTCTTACTATAGAGTGGGTTGATTGCAGAGGGAAATGGAAAAATGTGACTTATAACTTGGAATAATGTGAAAGTATGATACTGTGAATTTCACATTTACTTATAAGGTGTTAATCTGTATTTGATGTTTCAATTTGCATCTGTTGTTTTTGCAAAAGATACTAGTTGGTGGTTTTCTTTTCTTTCTTTCAAGAATGATGTTGGGGGAAGACCACTGTAAGGGTGGTTGGATCTTCAGGGACCCTGATGTGCATGGATAATAAGAATGGACTGGAGGACCTTGAATAAGGACACGGTGATACAATGCCCAAAGTCAACACATTATCGACACTACACTGAGAGTCGACGCTGCTGAGGAGCTGCAGTGTGATATATTTTATGTCTTCTCATATATATTTGCATAGTATTGAATTTTGTTATATTATATTGTAATGTGTGATATTGATAGAGGACATTTATAAGGTAGTGATAATCTTAGTAAGACATACTAGTTGGATTGAGTGTTTGAGTTGTTTATTGCATGAGTAGTACTTAAATTTATAACACTTTCTTTGTTTTAATTGCTTGAAGACTGATGTTTTCTGTTATGGGGTAAGTACATTGGGACCTCAGATGTTTTTTTCTTTTTTCGGTGCTCAGGGATATTGGTGTTAGGCAGGGAAAGGTCCATTGGAAGGTCCGATGGGTTGACCAGCCTGAAGGTGGACATTGTTTTGATTTTATTTTCTGAAGTTTCCATATGTATTTACTTAAGTCATATCCCTACACGACTTGTCAAAATTCCTCCTTTTTAAATTGGGCTGGAGTACTCTATGTGGTCGCCTAAGGCAGAGGGACCGTGAGAGAACTTTTCCTGTCTAGATTGTTTGATGGACATTTCAGGAATGATAGCTGCCTGACAGGTTTTTCACTCTCACACTCCAGAAAGTTGTTGAATTGCTAAGGTTACGCTGTAGGAAGCATGTGTAGGAGGAGCTGTTACTTTGTTACAACTGCAAACATGTATGTGTTACTTTTTTGTTTTTCGAGACTCTGCATAAGTCTCGAAGAGGGGATATGAAGTATATTTAAAAGAGTAGCTTTATAGAAGAAGGTGTAGTATCCAAGCTCCAGGTGTAATCTGACGTTGCAGGATTGGAATGTTTAAGTGAGGGGGCCCCTCATCCAAAGGTCCCTTTCCACTTTAGTTCCAGATGAATGAGACTATTCTAAGAAGGACTATATGCTCCGTCTCCTTTTTCCATAACAACCACCCTATATAAGCAGTAGGTCATACTGCTTGGGAGGGGACACTTCAGAATTGGCACGGATCCCCTCTCAGGTACTTTATAGTGCTTGATATGATACTGTTTTACTTTGTAATAAACATCTTATACAAGCAAGGCAGTGTCAGCAGAGACTTCTTCATCATCTTCACATCATCGCTATTTAATAAACAACAATCTGTTAGACAGTTGCTGCTGCTGTTGCTGCAATTCTGAGCGATGAATGGCTGCAAAGTGCCACCTGCTGTACAAACAGCCCAAAACATCACACTGTATAAAAGATTTCACTGGGCACTTCAGCTCAGTTCTCTATCCAAACAAGGTACTGGAACATGGAAATATACACCCACTGGCTGTTTTTTCATCAAATTCTAACCATCTTTTATCTTCTATCCTTTTTCAGGTCAGCTTCCCAAATAGGGACACTTTTTAGTTTGTAGTACAATTACAGACTGAAGTCCTTCTGTTTCTCTGCATCGCTTTCTCTGCATTACCATAACCCCCCGCAAGGGTCAGCTAGAGTTCAAGTCTTCACAGGTCACTTCTGAGTCAAAACTCGAGTGTCTACGTCTGAGTCTAAAGTGGATAAATTTAGGTTAGTTTCATTATTAGCTGTAGCCATTGTATTGTACAACTCCAAATCAGAAATAGTGGAGACAGTATGTTAAATTAAAATTGAAACTGAAAACAGCAATTTGCATATTATTTTTGTAATACATTAAAAACAGTACAACACATTATTACATCCCCAAAAATAAACACTTGTTTCATATTGATTCTTGCAACGTATTTCAAAAAAAGTCGGGACAGTAAAGCATTTACCACTTTGTAATGTTGCTATTTCTTTTCACACCACTCAAAGGATGTTTAGGGATGTTTAAGTTTGTCCCATTCACAGGATCGAACTCCTGGCAGGCCAGTCCAGCACCCGCACCCTTTTTTTCTGCAGTCAAGCCTTTATAATGTGTGCAGAATGTGTTTTATATGTTTTTTTATATGAGTATGATATGAATATGAGTTGATGTCCCCAGAAAAAATGTCGTCTTAAAGTCAGCATGTTGATCCAAAATCACAGTGTAAAATCTTAGTGTATGTTGCCTTTGCCAAAGGCACAGACACAACCCCATATCATGACAGATGCTGGCTTTTGGGCTTGTTGCTGGAAATGGTCTGAATGATCCTTTTCAGTTCAAATAGTTTTCACAGTTTTTAATAATTTATGAAAAACTAAGGCCTTTTCTTTAATATTGAGTTGTTCACCGTAAGTCACACTCCCCCGCACCCACCTTGTTGTCTGGGTTCCCTTCTGTTGATGCTACAACAGAAAAATTATGATGGTTTGTAAAGTTCTCATGCTATGTAAATTTACTGTCTTTAATTTAAACATTGCCCTGCAGCACACAGTCAGCTCACTTCCTCTAGTCTTTTGTGGTCTTGCGTGTGCGTACCATCTCTGTGTGTGTAGTTGCAAGCATGAAGGCATCTCAGTGCTTCTTGACACTCAATGCGTTTCATCAGAGCTTACAAGGAAGTCTAGTCACAGCCAGCTTCTTACACTCCATCATCACCACCTGTACTGGTTGATCTCTTTATCTTCCAATGGGTAGCAGTGCTGTGTGGGTCTTCTTGCCTCTTGAGGTGATCATTGCTGTAGCATGTTGCCTGGGTAATGTGCTGGTGATCTGGGCAGTGTGGACATGTGGAGCCCTCAGTCAGCCCACCTTCTGCTTCATTGTGTCCCTCGCTGTGGCTGATTTCCTGGTGGGATCTGTGGCCATCCCCATAGCTGCGCTGGTCGACATTCGTATGAATACCTCCTTTTACGGCTGCCTTTTCATGTGCTGTATCATCATAATGCTACAAGTGGCTTCTGTCGTCTTACTCCTGGCCATTGCAGTGGACCGTTTCCTCCGTGTGCACATCCCTCTGAGGTGAGTAGTTTTTATCCTTATGTCTGAAGGAGCTATAACCATCCTGCAGATAAATAACTTTTTTTTTATTTTGATTAGTACTGCGACCGTGTGACAGCTATTTGTAGAACAATGTGGAGCTCTATGATGTTTCTTTTATGATGTAACACTGATATGTTGACTGCTCAGTTTTATCTTTTTAAACTTTTTAAGAATCAGAACAAAGAAACTGATACTATTTATTTCTTTCTTAGGTATAAATCTACAGTCTCTAAGAAACGCTTATGGATCGTGGTTACACTCTGCTGGGTCACTGCTGCGTTGCTCAGTTTTATCCCCATGTTTGGATGGCACAACACTTTGGGTGCAGACAGTATTCAATGCAGCTTCTTAACTGTTATTTCCATTTCCTATGTAGTAAACTTTATTTTCTTCAGCTTCTTTCTTCCTCCATTGGCTGTCATGACAGGCTTGTATTGTTACATCTTCCTGACCACTCGAAGGCTGTTAAGAGCAAATATAGGTGTGGCTGCAGAGTCCAGGACATACTACCAGAAAGAACACAGACTGGCTGTTTCACTTTTTCTGGTCTTGGGTCTCTTTGTTGTCTGTTGGCTCCCAGTATTCCTCACGGTCACTGTAAAATTATATGGTCATAATATTGAGGTGCCCTCTGTTGCCATTGACATAGGTGTCCTCCTGTCTCATGCTAATTCAGCAGTTAACCCCATAGTTTATGCGTTTAGGATCCCAAAGATAAAAAAGGCATGTAGGAAGCTGTGGAGAAGAGTTTCTCATGACAGAGAACAGCAGCAGAGTGAACAGAACAACACACAGCATAATACTGACAGAAATGCAAACAGCTGTGCAGAAAACACCGGTAAGAAAGACAACAGTACAGAAAACAGAAGTACTAACTTTTTAAGTTGACCTGACTAAACCACACAACCTACCCAAGAATTACTGCTGTCAGTATTTTGATGTGCAACCTGTGACATATTCAACAACAACAACAGAAAAAGTAAAAACAGCTGTTCTGGCAGATTTTCACCAGGGAAGATACTCAGTGTTTGGTGACATCTATGGGTCCCTTTAGATGGTCATTAACTGCAAAAGTCCAAAATAATATCATTAAAGATTGTAGCAATTCATCCAATTACTCATAGTCTTATGTATGAACACATCTTGAAATTCCTTCATGTTTCACCCAATATCAATATAAATACTCTCAGATTAAAGCTTACATTCTGTATTTTAATTTCAGAGTGATTATTTCATTTCAAATCCAGTCTCACTGCCTCATTAGATGTGAATGAATTACATTCTGGGTACATAGTTTAGGTAAAATATCTAGTTGTGATTTTTCTTGCCAATATTCTGACTACAACTTAAATTATTTTTATTTGTATTGAGATTCAGGGCTGAAGACCAGCTGTACTCCACACATGGGTGTTCACAAGTGTTGTGTTATAAGGTTAGATTGTTACTTGTGAGCGTGTATTTTTGTTTTTGTGTGTTTGCCTCTCTTTCTCCTTCTTTCTTCCCCTGTCTCTTCCTTTAAATGTGTGTGGTTTAAATCTCTTGTGTTTGGAATGTGCTTTTACCTGGCTAATTATTTTTAAACAAGTACTGACTTTGATTAGTTTATAGGTGCTTGTGTTAGGGGTGTGCTCATGTTGGGTGTTTTTCCAGCACACTTGCTTACTGTTTACAGGAGCACTGTCTCGTGTTAGGGGTTTGCTTATGATGGGTAAATCTTGTCAGCACACTCCTAACTCACGTTCATACATTGTACATGATGTAGGATTCTACTCTGTTTAGTCCCCTAAACCAGTGAGTTGCACCACCCAATGTAATGTTTTGATTTTTGGAAAGGAAGTTTATGTAGTTAGCTTTCGTTTCATTTTGTTTTTGTACCCAAGTACTTTTTTTACTCAGAGTAAAAAAGTTTTACTCAAAGTTGTACTAGACATAGCATAGTTTTTTTATTGTGAATTTTACCTGAGTTATGATGTTGTTACACAAAATCAGATAAAGATGTCTGACTTTATCATGTCTGTTCATTGACAGCACAATCTGAAGATTTTGTTAGAGGTTTTTATCAAGCAAATATGGCTTGCTGTGAAATAGATTTGAGGTGTTGATAGGTTGATTTTGGTGCAGGATTGTGAAGAAATTAAGTTGTAAAAAACAAATGATCCCCTTCATATAGTCAAAGGTATGCAATCAATAAAAGTGAGCTAAGGCTGCTTCAGATTTAAGATGGTCTAATGCATCTTTCAAGTGCAAGTGTGGTGGTAGTTTTCTCTGAGCAGGAACTTGTTCACCCAGCATGCACATTCATGTGGTTTATGTCAGAGATAAATAGAACACTGAGGTTATGTAATGAGTATTGCAGTTTATTAGCTTGCTGGCTTCTATTGATTTTGACCTATTTTACTGGCGTTTTCAATGTTTAAACCTCGTAATTAAAAGAGCAAAATGAAAAGTTAATTAAGACAAAAATTAAAAGAACAGAGAATAAAAGTAAAGTGCTAAAAAGATGCAAAGTGCAGTAGCTTGAGGAGTCTGAGAGGTGCAGATGAGCAGATGTTTTTAGTCTGCTTTTAAACATGTCTGTGCATATTTGACAGCTTCTGGGAGGAACTAACCACAGCCTATAGTGGCTGAAGGCTGTCTCACTGTGTGTACCTCTGGTTCTAGGCACTGACCAGACTCTAGTGATCCGAGATGTTTAGTAGGGCCAGAATTTGAACACTAGGGGGAGGGAGTCCTGGACTTGCCATAAAATTAAAGGGACACTGCATAACTGACAACTTATATCCTTTTATAAAATTATTTATCCAAAATGGAAACTTTAGAAGAGAAGGGAAAAACGTTCATGACTAATAATGGAAGGTAACTATTTTTGTTTTCAAAGTAATTTTAGACCATATCTGTTTGGTCTGTTCTTCATTAAATTAAGACAATGTTATGGGTACCTGGAGTTGTCGAATTATGTAAAATGTACCTGTTTGTTCAGAAAACTGAATCATAATTTGATTTTGCTTCTTCTGGGATCCACCAAACCTGCGTGCTGAACATTAAATCTGTTATTTACAAAATATTTTACAACTCAATTTGCAAAAAAGTTGGGGCGCTGTGCAGAATGTTATTAAAAATAGAATGCAATGATATGTAAATCATGTAAACCATATTTTTTAAGGAAAATATTACAAAGACAACATATCAAATGTTGAAACTGAGAAATTTTATTGTTTTTTAAAAAATATGTGCCCATTTTGAATTTGATGCCAACAGCACGTTCTAAAAAAGTTGGGATGGGGGCATGTTTACCACTGTGTTTAATCACCTCTTCTTTTAGCAACATTCTGTAAGCATTTGGGAACTGAGGAGACCAATTGCTGTCGTTTTGAAAGTGAGATGTTTTCTCGTTCTTGTTTGATACAGGATTTCAGCTGCTCAACAGTTTGGGGTCTCCTTTGTCAGATTTTTCATTTCATAATGCGCCAAATGTTATCAGGCAGGCCAGTTTAGCACCAGGACTCTTTTAATATGGAGCAACACTGTTTTAATATGTGCAGGATGTGGTTTGGCATTGTTCTGCTGAAATAAGCAGGGCCTTTCCTGAAAAAGACGTCATCTGGATGGCAACACATGTTGCTAAAATGTATATATTGTTCAGCATTAATGGTGCCTTCACAGCTGTGCACATCACCCGTGCCATGTGCACTAATGCACCCCCATACCATCATGAATACTGGCTTTTGAACTGTGCACTGATAACAAGCTGAGTGGTCTTTAGCCCAGAGGACACAGTGTCCATGATTTCCGAAAAAGAATTTCAAATGTTGATTTGTTGGACCACAGGACATTTTTCCACTTCAGCTCAGTCCATTTTAAATGAGATCAGGCCCAGAGAAGGCAGTGGTGTTTCTGGATCCTGTTTATATATGGTTTCTTCTTTGCGTTTTAGAGTTTTAACTTGCATTTGTGGATGCAGCGACAAACTGTTTTCACAGACGGTGGTTTTCAGAAGTGTTCCTGAGCCCATGCAGTGATTTCCACTACAGAATCACGTCTGTTTTTAATGCAGTGCCACCTGAGGACCCAAAGATCATGTCCAGCAAATATAGGGTTTTGACCTTGTCCCTTGCATGCAGGGATTTTTCTGGATTCTCTGAATCTTTTTTTGTTTTTATATACCGTAGGTGATGAAAAGCAAAAGTTCTTTGCTATTTTATGTTGAGAAACGTTATTCTTGAATTGTTGCACTATTTGATCGTGCAGTCTTTCACAGAGTGTTGAACCCCTTCTCATCATTACTTCTATAAGACTCAGCCTCTCTGGGATGCTTTTTTTTTGCCCAATCATGTTACTGACCTGTTGCCAATCAATGACCAGGTGTTTTTTTGGCATTACACAACTTTACCAGGCTTTTGTTGCCCCTGTCCCACCTTTTTTGGAAAATGTTGTTGGCATCAAATTCAAAATGGGCATATATTTTTCAAAAAACAAAATGTCTCAGTTTCAACATTTGATATATTGTCTTTGTACTATTTTCAATTAAATATAGGGTTTAAATGATTTGCACATCATTGCATTTTGTTTTTATTTACGTTTTGCACAGCGTCTCAACTTTTTTGGAAATAGGTTGTAATTAATTAACTGAGTTAACTGTGTTTTCTGAGTTAACTGTGTTTTCTTGTCAGCTTCTAAGTGGACAAATCACTTAAATGCCCAGTATGGAGCCATTACAATAATCTAGCCTGCTGGAGATATACGCATGAATGAGTTTTTCTTGATCTGGTTAAATAATGAACTCTCTGAAATTTGCTATGTTTTTGAGGTGATATAGGAGTCTAGCTTTGATTTTAGATGAGGCATTTCTATTTGGCTTCCATTGATACTGCATTCTCTTTACATGAGCATCAGAAAGTGTCAATACTAGTAAAGGAGGCCTTCATGAGGCTAAAAACAATGTTAAATCGATATATCAAACAACGGTTTGGTACATTGCTGTGAACACAACAGTGAGCTTATAGCTTTAAAAAGCAACCTGACAGAGCCTGGAAGACCACAGAATGCTTGTGACCTAAAACCTGCTGCTAAAGCAGCTACAGTTTTTTTCAGCGGCAAAATGTGGAATATTCATGAATGGACAAGTCAGTCACCCAACTTTAGACCTGCTGAGCATGCAGTTCACTTACTGACAACAAGGTTAAAGGCAAAAAGCCCCCAAAAGAAACCGGCAACTGGAAACAGTGACATCAGGCTTCACAGAACATCATTAGGGAAGATATTCAGATTCTGCTGATATCTGTATGTTGCAGTTTCCAGGTAGTCACAATTGCAAGAGATTTGTATTGAAGTATTACAGCCTTTATTTTAAATTTAATTGAATGAATGCCAATTAATTCAGTTACTTAAAGTCTTCTGAAAATGGGAAGACTATGTGCAAAAAGAGCTGTGATTCGTTTATGGTCCACCTAACATATGCATTTGACCAGTGTTGGGGGTCATGCGGTTCAAAGTAACATGTTACAGTAATGTCATTACTTTGTCCTGTAATGAAGTAATGTAAAACATTACTGTATATATTCTTATGTCACATTAGTTATTTACATTACTGACATGTCTGTAAGCATTCAAAAAGCCCAAGTCATGAGTGAATATCAGGCATTTTTGCAGCTTAGTTTCCATCTATGAATTGCATAGACTGGGGAGTGAACGGTACTTTTTGAAACTATATCAGTGTTTATTTACCATAAGAAGGCCTTCAATTTCTATAACAGTGAGAGCAATTCAGCTCTCTATGATACGGGCCCTTTAAAACGTAAATATTCTCTATATAGATCCTCCATGCCTGGCCTTACCATAAACTCAACAAACTGTTGAATTATCTTGTGACGCTATATGAAACTGACCTCACCTGAACAGACCAGACTCAATTTTCATTCATAATCAGCTCTGTTCATTAAGAGTTTATTCTGACGCAGTTTTTGGCCTGTTTCTACTGATGCGTTAACAGGTGTTTTTTTCTTTTAATAGTGTCAAACAATAATTTTAATCAGCACAACCTTCCATGCCTGATTTAGGGTAAAGGCAAGGACAGTGACAAACCTTTCGAATCCTGTTTAGTGTGAAAGGCTGTTTGTTACTAAATAAAGTACTATAAATGTTTTTTTTTCTTCTGTAGTTCTACTTGGTACTGATATGTGTGGGTTTCAGACATGAACGTAGAAGTACTGACTGATGTGATTCCATTTTCTGTGAAGTAATCAGTCACTGCCATTTCAGTTGGAGAAACATAATTACTCATTCATCATAGATTCTTTGGGTAACTTTTGAGTTGGGTTACCACTGTTTATAACGTTCAGCACTTTAATTTCAATATTTAACTTTAAATCCAGTGTTCTGGATTATAGAGGCAGCACAATAAAATGTGTCACAGTCCAGTTACTTTCATTATATGTAAATAAATTAAATACTTCATACTGTGGTGAGTAAAAATAAAGGGAACTGTTATGATCTACCTGGTCAGCTGCATTCTTGTGTCAATATAGTCACAGGTGAGAAGACAGGATGTTTCACTGTATCTTTTAATATAGTAAAAGAACTGATGAAGAAGGGCAATAAAGATAAAATGCTGGACGGAGAGATTTGCGAAGAGAAAGAACAATAAGGGCTGCATGTGTGTGAGTCCTGATCTGCTTTGCAAAAAGGCATCCATATTTACCTGTTGGACAGTTGCTGCTGCTGCTGCTGCTGCTGCTGTTGCAATTCTGAGAGATGAATGGCTTCAAAGTCCCCCCTGCTGCACAAACAGCCTAAACCATCACACTGTATAACAGATTTCACTGGGCACTTCAGCTCAGTTCTCTACCCAAACAAGGTACTGGAGCACACTATATAATACATTCATTGGCCACTTCATTAGGTACGCTTACCTTTTATCTACACTCAGTGTTTATTTTTCAGGTCTACTAACCAAACAAGGACACCTGCTGGTAGTTATGCAATTACAGATTGCTCTTTTTTCGCATAATTTTCCCAGTACTACCCTGTTCATTAATATTCAGAACCAGTTGAAATTTCTGCTTGCTGATTCCAGAAGTATGACAGTTCTATGTTAGAATCAATTCACATGAACACTTTAGGGCCAGCCCTGTGATGGACTGGTGGCCTGTCCAGGGTATTTCCTGTCTTCTGCTCAATGAGAGCTGGGATAGGCTTCAGAACCCCCTTGACCCAGGAAGAAAAGCGGTGTAAAAGATGAATGAATTAATATATTTTAGGGCCATTCTAGATTAAATATGAATACTTAGTGCTTGCAAAAACATTCTATGTGTTATTTGAAGCTTGTAACAGACAATAAACATTTTACCGGGTAGCAGCTCTACAGTGACTGTATTAGTAGAGCTCTGACATAGAGCTGCCACTGTTTTTCATTTCTACCAACTGAATGGAATGTGTTTTTTAGGCTTTCATTCATGTTTACAGTCAGTGGCAAATCTAGGACTTCCACGAAGTTTTCATGAAATTGGTCTCGCCTACTGAAAATCAAAATGAATAGCTAATTTCACTGTCAGTTCCTAATTATGTTAATGGTCATGACACAATAGGCTTTCAACCGAGCCCTTGAAGGCCTGACCAGTGGGAGAGCTCGCTTGGCTGTATCTACCTGATTAAATCCTGATTGGATAATGTTCCATTTCAAGATTTTGACCCTTTTGTTTCCCACCAAAACTTAACAATGAAATACGTATCATATTTGCAGAGCTGAAATACAAGAAGCAAGAATGACTATGTATAATATATGAACACTGATCTACAAATTACACACATGCATGTTTTGTTTTGCAAAATCATTAGGCCTTCTCTAAAGGCCTAGAACACCATGAGGGTTCCCCTTTTTGCGTCATAAGTCTTGAGTCAACATGTTACTCAAGTCTATGTTGCTGACTCGAGTCCCCAACTGTTTATAAAACTTTTAGAAAACAGTACGCTCAATAATTGTGTTTGAAGTTGTTTCTGTGTATATTGTAGCGTTGGCATAGAGAAAAATGCAAAAACCACAGTGTATATAGGCAAATACTCTATTTTGAACAGGCAACAAGAAATGCCCAGACGAGGCAGGGGGTTAAACAGGAATACATGGCATCTGTGGAAGGTGGACACTTCAACACACTGTAAACCTACCTTCCTCAATCACAATTACTCCAAGCAACGGAACTACACTAATAATATCAATAACAGTAATAACCCAGGAGCGTGGCACCTCCCAAGAGCCACTTGCAGCATGGAGGACACCAAAATAATAACTATTTAGAGGATGAGCTTTAATAAACTAAGGCATGTTTCACAATGCTGGAGTGGTTTTTCTGTTGTGTAACAAGTAAACATAAAACACAGGAACATGCAAGTTTTTATCAGAGCTCAAAGGGAAGTCTAGCCACAGCCAGCTTCTTACATTCTATGATCACTGGTTGATCTCTTTCTCTTCCAATGGGTAGCAGTGCTGTGTGGGTCTTCTTGACTCTTGAGATGATCATTGCTGTAGCATGTTGTTTGGGCAATGTGCTGGTGATCCGGGCAGTGTGGACATGTGGAGCCCTCAGTCAGCCCACCTTCTGCTTCATTGTGTCCCTCGCTGTGGCTGATTTCCTGGTGGGGTCTGTGGTCATCCCCATGGCTGTGCTGGTGGACATTGGTATGAACATCTCCTTTTATGGCTGCCTTTTCATGTGCTGTGTCATCATAATGCTAGAGGTGGCCTCTGTCGCTTTACTCCTGGCCATTGCAGTGGACCGTTTTCTCCGTGTGCGCATCCCTCTGACGTGAGTAGTTTTTTACCCTCATAGTTGAAGGAGCTATAACCATCCTGCAGACAAATAACTTCAGATTTTAGTTTTGAACTGTGCTACACTTTGGCAACTTGAGCAATATGATGTTGAAATTATGTTGTGAAACTTATATGTTAGCTCATCCTTTTAGCTCAATCTTTTTAAACTATTTAAGAATCAGAACCAAAAAACTGATTAGATTTTTTATTTCTTTCCCAGGTATAAGTCCACAGTTTCTATAAAACGCTCTTGGATCGTGGTTGCACTCTGCTGGGTCACTGCTGCATTGCTGAGTTTTATCCCCATGTTTGGATGGCACAACCCTTTGGGTGCAGACAGTAATGAATGCAGATTCTTTAAAGTTATCTCCTATTCATATCTAGTTTACTTCATATTCTTCAGCTTATACCTTCCTCCGTTGGCTCTCATGACAGGCTTGTATTGTTACATCTTCCTGACCACTCGAAGGCAGTTAAGAGCAAATATAGGCGTGGCTACCAACTCCAGCACATATTACCAAAAAGAACACAGACTGGCTGCTTCACTGGTTCTGGTCTTAGTTCTCTTTGTTGTCTGTTGGCTCCCTCTGTTCCTCATGGTCACTGTACGATTATATGGTCCACATATTGAGGTGCCCTCTGTTGCTGTTGACATAGGTGCCCTCCTGTCTCATACTAATTCAGCAGTTAACCCCATAGTGTATGCGTTTAAGATCCCAAAGATAAAAGAGGCGTGTAGGAAGCTGTGGAGAAGAGTTTATCATGACAGAGAACAGCAGCAGAGTGAACAGAACAACACACAGAATAATACAGACAGAAACACAAACAGCAATGCAGAAAACGCCAGAACAAAAGACAACAGTACAGAAAACAGAAGTGCTACACAGCAGCCAGTGTCGCAATAACCTGCTGCAACTGCTGAC